GTTTTCTGGTTGTTGTTGTTCTTATTTTGTTGCTGTTGTTTGTTTGTTAGTAGTCGTGGTAGCTGTGTGAGAAGTATTGGTATTATGTTTGTTTGTTGTAGTGTAGTAGTAGTGTTGTTAGTATTTTTGATTTTTTTGTTTGTTAGTGGGGGGAGGGGGCTTTGCTTTTTGAGTGTGATGTTTATTTTTCCAATCATTGTTTTCATTTTTTTTTTGTGATGAGGGTGATCGCTAGTTTCATTCTCAGATTCTCAAGCAACCAAATCATATTTACTTGACCCACCAACCATAGGAAGAACAAACACCTCTTCACAATCCTTTCTCATCACAATCCTTTCTCACCACAATCCTTTCTCATCACAATCCTCTCTCATCACAATCCTTTCTCATCACAATCCTCTCTCATCACAATCCTCTCTCATCACAATCCTTTCTCATCACAATCCTCTCTCATCCTTGTCTCATCCTTCCAGTACAACTGCTCTCAGCACAGACCCCTGACGGAGGTTCGAGGCCTGTCCCTCCTCCTCCACCGGGACCGCGCCGAGGAGTACGGGGTGGCCAAGGACGAGCTCTCGTGTGTGTACCAGGGCATCGTCAGAGTGGAGCAAGACGCCGAAAACTTTACGATGGACTGCGATAAATTATATAAGTGGGTATTTGTCGTGTATTGTTTTCCCTTTGGGGTCCTGTGGGGTCTACGCGGTTTGTTTATGGGTTGCGATGAATGGCATTAGTGGGTATTTTTATTTATTTATTTATGTTTTTGTTTTATTATTCAAGGCTATTTGATTTGCCATGGTCTAAGATAATTAGTGTGAGTATATTCATGATTTATTTGTGTTTCTTTTTGTGTTTATTGAAGGCTATTTGGTTTATTTTTGATTGTTTTAAGTTTGTTTTCGATTTTGCTTCTATAGGTGATGTTATTAAGTATATGTATACAGTAGAATCTCCCGTTCATTCTTCATGAAGATAATGTTCTTTTCGTATACTTCGGAATGTGATTATTTAGAGTAGTAACAGTACTTTATTGTAGATGTTAAATGCTAATATTACGATATTCTCATGTTCCGCTTTTAAAAATAGTTTACTAGTTATAGTTCGGGGAAAATGCATATAATCTATGCGGAAAGACAGCATAAAACATAATAAAGTAAGTGTATGAATTATATATTCACATAGTAAGTGCTGGCTTATACAGTCACCCGCAATCGATTTAACAGGATCGATACCTTTTGCTACTCTCTTCAAAAATTGTACTTGCCTTGATACCAAGACACTCGGCAACACTGAACAAACATCGGAGTAAATTTTGTTGTAATCAGTGAGCCACGGGAGTTTTACAACCTTCCGTTTTCTCTCGCCAAAGTATTCATATACGATTGCCTGTGATGAATTTGTGGTTAGTGGTGCGCAGTGGAGTGTACCCTTCCACGGTATGCTCAGGCTTCAGTCGTAGGTTTCTGTATACTCATAAGGGCTTCTAGGTAATGTGGAACCGTGAGTCTGCCAGTGATAGTTGCAGAAGGTAAAGGGAAATCCTGATGTGGGAGGTGAGAGCTCAGCAATTTGTTTACTTCACTATAGTCAGTTACAGGGCAAATGTTTTTACTTTTATGTCTGTCCAATTTCTCGTTTTTTTCTAAATGTTACACGTGTTTGCCCCCGTTTTCTATAAATATTTATTGTGGACAGGAGTTAGTTTGGATGGGAGGGCTGTTTTATGTTTCACTACCTACTATTTTAACCTCATCATATCCTGAGGGTTGTCCATCCTGATTGTACAATTGTGGTAATACATTGTTTTGGAAAGAATGGGAAGGTATGTTGACAGCAGTCTCCGTACTTTACTGGTTACTAAACACGAAGTCGATGTTATTAACGCCAATTGGGAACCGCGGGGGATGGACAGTACAAGTGGTGTTAGGATATTTCCTATGAAGGTTCATCTAGGTCTTCGCAGTGTGCTGCAAAGATATATTCTTACTGAAATGATTTAATATAAATAAATCTTTCAAGCGCAAAAAAGGCCGCTACTCCAATATTGTCTCCTTGGGATAAAATTCTAAACCGTGCAAAAAAACAAAAAAACAAACAAACATGGGTTACAGATAACTATTTCATGAGTTATTAGCAGATAATATCAGAAATTTGCTGTCGTTGAAATATAAATGAGAAAGATTTTTCACAGTTTGATCAAGTAGTAAATACAACCGAAAGAACTATTAAATGAATAACGGTGAATATTTCCTGAAAATTTTATTCTCAACGTGTGTATTCATTCACCGACCCCCCCCCCAAAAAAAAAAAAAAAAAAAAAAAAAAAAGAAACTGATAACTCCTATAAAAAAACCTGGAACAGTTGATTTACTTACAGATACATGTAGATTCTTTCTAAAAAGACACCGGTAATCTTATCTCTCCCCCTTACCCCAAGGTTAAAGAAAAAAGTCGCCCTGAACGGAGCCAGCACAGCCATCAACGAAGACGGGGTGATCGTCACCTGTTACGGCAGAATTTACAAGGTTTATCAGACGGTCCATTACTTCCTTCAGCCGCGGCGGTCGAAGGAGAAGAGGGAACGGTTTCAGGTAAAATCGTGGCTCCGTTTTAGTCATTTTCCTTGGGCTTCGTCGCCATTTTTTTAAAATTTAGTTTGTTATTTTATGTGATTTTTTCAGATTGTTTCGCTTTTTTGTCAGGGTTTCTATTTCAATTATTTCTTAGGAGGAACAGAAATTATTTATATATATATTTTTTTAAATATTTGTATAAATAATTCTTATGTTTCATTACGCCATCTTTGAGTAGATGTTAGGCTTACATACTTTTATACAAATTTATTTCAGAAATAGATAAACTTTAAAAGCATAGAGATCGAATGTAAATGGAACACAAACAAATGGCTAATTTCTAATGGTGATTCATTCTAAATATATGTGTTTGTTATTTCTAAGGTAGGATTTTCCAAAAAGTGTAACAGTAGAAATAGAAAGTTTCAGCTGCATTTCTTGCTAAATTTAGAAAGAAAACTTCCAATCAGAGTAGATTCGAATAAAACAATTATTAAGTAGCTCTTACTATTTATTTTCTTCGGTTTGGTATCATGCTTTATATTCTTGTTAAGTATTTAATATATCATTACACCACTAGACCTTTCGCCGATACATTTTTGTGTAACGACCACTCATGAAATCTCCCTACTTATAACATAGCTTTTGCAGCCAAGGACATTAGCATAAAATTGTAAATGGTAAATGACTTACAATAAGTTGCAAATTAAACTAACAGCCGAAATTTGTTAAAAAAAACATTTTGGCTTCAGGATCTCCAGGAAGTTCTCCATCATCCCCGGTTTCCGCCTCTCCGTCCTGTAGCAGCTGAATCACTGGCCTCTTTTTGAACGCCGATCGCCCTCTTCATCAGCCGCTTTTCTTTTAAAAAGCTGCTAATTTATATCAGAATCTTCAATACGTCTGTGTAAATGTTTTGGGTTTTGTTATTCATCACCGATGTGACTCAGTAACTGTGAAAAGTCGAAATTAAAGGTGTGCAAATAATTTTCTTCACACCCAGGGTCACATCATTCACGTGTGAAGAGTGCACAGTACATTGATCACCAGAAAAAAAAATTATGTTTTTTACCACTAATTTGCCACATATGTATATATATGTATAGGAGAAGCATGGCACGTTCTTAACGTACTTTGTCCCAGTTACACACAGAACGACACTTTGGAACGATAACATCTCCCACAGGGCAATCGGTGATGCCTGGCACCGGTTTCCTACCATAGTGATAATGTATTAATAAATGAATGATGAGAGGATGAGGGTGTACTGGCATGGTAGAAGATGAACACAGATCTACTGAAAGAATTTGAATAGCAGTCTTGAAGTCAACTGTGATTCCATTTTTAAGTCTAGATGCAGAAGATCGACGCTATTGTTTCTAATAATGCAACTAATAGGACTTAGAATCAAGATAAGTCAGGAAGGCTCAATATGCTAAGCCTGTTTATGGAAACATTGTTGACTCATGTACTGCTGTTTAAGAATTTCCAGTACTGTATTTGAACTTGGGAAATCAGTTGAAGATCGTGTGCACCTCTTCGTCTAAAAACATATATTAGTTGCTTTTAGGGATGTAAATAACATCTTTCACACCTTTCCTTCCCTTCTCACAGAAAGAACATGGTGGACAACGACGAGCCATGCTCAGTGTCTTGATCATGGGCATTGACTCCGTGTCTCGCGCCAACATGCGACGCAACATGCCCAAGACTTTTTACTTCCTGAAAGATGAGCTCGGCGCTCTCGACTTCCAAGCCTTCAACAAAGTGGCCGACAACACCAACCCCAACATGGCCGCTTCACTGATGGGACTCACTGAGAAGGAGTTGACTGAGACCTGTCAGCCGAAGCGTACAAAATTTGACGACTGCCCCCTCATCTGGAAGAATTTCTCTGATGCAGGATATATTACAGTGTATGGAGAAGATGACCCTTATTCAGGATCCTTCCATTACAATAGGTATGGGTTCGTTAAAGAGCCCACCGACTACTACAACCGGCCTTACATGTTAGTTTCTCACTCGTACACAAAACACAATGCAGGGCTGTCCGGAAGCTTTGTACTTTGTTTGGGAGGAGAAAAGAGCATATCTGTTATCCATGATTATTCTCTGGCTATTGCAAATACATTCCGAGACACGCCGTATATTTCCTATTACTGGAACACAGGCATAACACATGACGAAGTGGAATGGGCATCAGCCACTGACCTGCCCTCACTGGAGTATCTGAGAAAACTAAATGAGAGTGGCGTGTTGGACCACACCATACTGTTCTTCATCAGCGACCATGGAATCAGGTTTGGGGACATCAGACTGACCTACGCCGGCCTGCTAGAGGAGAGACTGCCGTACTTCTTTGTGCTGTTTCCCCCATGGTTCAAGGAGAAGTACCCTGAAGCCTGGAAGAACCTCAACACCAACACGCAAAGACTCGTGTCCAACTTTGACTTCTTTGCAACTTTGACAGATATCTTGACTGGTTCATATGGGGGCAGCTCCAGGTAAACTCTTGAGGTTGCTTTCTTAGACTGACTAGTTCTGGTTGCATTTCCTATAAGGTCCTTCCATCTGTTACAAATTATGATATGAAACGTCATTAATGATAAAACAAGCAGTATGCAATATTTCGTTATGTAACAGTGAACTACATGACATTCAGATTTGCACTGTGATTTTTAGTTTTAGTCAAACTTTGTAATTATTTTTTCTGAAAATATGGTAGAACAACTCTTCACAAACGGAAAGTGTACTCATTTTTCTGTTTTAAACCCCCAGAACGACACGACACGGCCAGAGTTTGTTTCAGGAGATCCCAATCAACCGGACTTGCGAGGACGCCACCATCCCTGACCACTACTGTTCCTGTGAGCACTCGAGCCAAGTGGAACCCGACGATCCACGGCTTCACGACGCGGCGGAGTACGTGGTGGACCAGCTCAACTTCGGAATGACGGCCTTTCCAGAGTGTATGAAGTTGCATGCTGTGCAGGTAGGAATATCAAAGGAGTGCGCTTTATACGTTTTTCTTCTTTTTTTCTTTTTCGTTTCCCTTATCAGCAGTTGTTTGTAACGGTTTCAAATATTAAGGGTTTTAATTGTAGTGAGACCAAGAGAGAATGAACTTGGGTTGGGTTAAATTATTAGTTACTGATTTTGTAACTATTTTGTAACTATATGAAATATTCTTATTTTTGTTCTGAGTTGAAGAATGAGTGAGAATGAGATAACCGGGTAAGATTTTAAAATAGTCTACATGAAGTCTATCATTGACAGGTGGTCAGAGGACAAATTGGGACGAGTCACAAAGGCACCTTAAAGAACATGCTCACAATCTCTGTTGTTTTCATGACTATGCCAGGTAAGACTGATTTTATGCTAAGCATTGGATGTATATTTTTTACTTAAGCACATCGTAAAATGTTAGCTGCATTGGTAAAATGAAATAAGTTGACAAAGATCAGGGCTCTTATGAGAGTCAAGGGTCTTGTCAAGACTTGAAAGATTCATTGAAGCAATTGAAAAAATACAAAACACAACACTGGTTAATATTTAATTAACATATCTATACATCGATTAAATACTTTTAAAAGCAGACATTTTTTATGTAATCTATCTATCTCTATCTATCTATCTATCTATCTATCTCTATCTATCTATCTATCTATCTATCTATCTATCTATCTATCTATCTATATATATATATATATATATATATATATATATATATATATATATATATATATATATATATATATTTGTAAAGTACATATGAAGAGGAGTGAGCTCGGACTACACCCAGAATTCAATAGCTAATATTTGCTGGCAGTAACTAGTAAACCGTGTACAGAAAATGTATACGAACCATTTCACTCGTTCTTATGCTCCTAAAAAACTTTCGATTGCACATTTTTCTCCTCGACAGGTGAAGGCATGCTAGAAGCGACAGTCCGAAAACAAGAGGACAACTTCGAACTCACAGCTGACGTTTCCAGAATCAACATGTATGGCAATCAGAGTCACTGCATCACTGACCCTTTCTATGCAAGATACTGCTTCTGCCAGGACCTCCTGACCACCCTCTACTCTAACACATCCTCAGAAGCGCCTATGAATATGACGGGGACTTAATTTTGGACTTTTTTTGTCCCCCGAAAACTCCTGTGGCGGAGGTCCTCGCCTTCTTCGAGAACATACTGAATCAGTCAATCAGAAGGTGCTACCGTGTCCCGTGCATTTCTTCCGTTTCTACAAAGGCACTTTGGGACAGAAATTGTTACCGCACTTGAATCAATGGCAGGAAGAACCAAGTAGATAGATAGATGAAGTAGATTAATGACGCTGCTGTTTTGTCTGAGAAATACTGTTACATATTCTTGCATTTTGTGCTCCCATGACTTCATGTTTTCTCTGAATGATATATATCACACGGAGTATTATCTGAAATGTTTGTGTACAAAATGTAATGATATAAATAACTGTCCATAAGTGCCAAAAGTGGCGTTCCTAGCTAAAAGTGCAGGCCTTACTAGCTAACACATGTCTCGTGCTGTATTTACTTTATTTAAGGCAGCTTTAAGCACAGTATGAAAGCACAAATGAACTTAGGTAATTATGAATCTGCTCTTTGAAATCAGCCTTTCAAACTTACAACTGTTGACTATCAGCACGAAGCAACAACTCATACTTTGTTATTTAAGATAATCATAGATGTAGATACTTCATTCATAATTTAGGATCTGCAATAGTTGTTCATTTGCACCCTTTTTAGATGTACAACAACACTTGCTGTGATATACATCAGTGATAGTTCGAAAAAAGTATCTTATTTCCTTTCACAGGCATTTTTCATTGCAGCCAACAAAAGCTTTCATAAGAAACTCATTATGCCTGTCAGTATTTTGATAAGTAGTTATGATTCCGA